CCCCGAGTCACGAGGATTCTGAAGTGCTGCTGCCCCGCGTTCTGATCCTGCCTGATCTTAAACGTGCAGCCCTGGCCCTGCGGCGTCCTCTCGGCCGCCGCGTCGGTCCTGTGGGCGTCGGGAGCCACCCTGCGGCCCCGCGGCGGCGCCTCCGGGCCCGGAAGGCTGCGCTCCTCCGCGGGGCTCCCGCGCTCGGCCCGGGGCTGCGTGGGGTAAGAGCTGCTCCTCTCCAGACGGATTCGGGGATACCTCACCAGCCTGTCCCCCTTGGTGCCAGTGAAGCCGAAGTTGAAGTCGCCGCCCGGCGCGGGCCCGCCTCCACTGGCTGGAGGCTGCTGCAGCTGGAAGACAAAGCAGCGCTTCCCGGAGCTTCCAGAAGCGTCTGGGACGTGCTGCAGGGACCAGCGCCTAGGCTCGGGCGCCGCTGCCACGGGGCCAGCCTGACCCTCGGCCCCCGAGGGCATCAGCCTCACAGGGCGCACATCGGCGCTGGATGCGCGGTGCTGGACACGCACGGCCGGCGGCTCGGCCTCCTCGCGGCCGTCGGGGCCCGGCGCTCGGCGGCGGCCGCACGTGCCGTTGAGCTGCGGGCCGGGAGTCCCGGGCCCCCCAGGAGGGGAGCCGTCGCCGCCGCCGCCGTGGTCATCGAGGCTCTTGGCCTCGGGGGGCTCCCCGGGCAGTTCCGTGCCCGCGTCGCCGTCGTCCGGGGCGCCGTCGGCCGCCTTGCGCTGCAGCGAGATCTGCACGGACGAGCTCCGCGTGGGCCGCGCATCCACGGGGCCCAGCAGCTGCGGGATGAACATGGACGTGCTGCGCTTGAGCGCGCCCACGCCTCCCCGCAGGCCCGCATCCTGCGCTCCGCTCGGGGCCAGCGCCACCGCGCCGCCCCGCCGCGGGAGCGTGTGGAATGCCATGAAAAAGTCGTCTTCTCCCTCCTGGTCTAGGATCTCTGACTCGGGGGCTGTGTTGCTACGGCAGGAGCCAAAATGAAACCGAAGCCGATGGGCCATGGTGCCCAGAGGGCCAGGGAGGGACAGGGCGAGAGGCAACAACAGGCCCGGCGCTGCCAGCAGTCAAACCCCAAAGACACGAACTCCAAGGAAAAGCGTTCCATCTGCCAAAGCGTGAGCACTGCGGCACCAAGGGCGGCAGATAGCAGAAATAACCCAAGTGGCAAGCGGCATTCCAGGCATGATTGGATAAGAGCAGAAAGCTCTCATCCGCACTGGGACAGAGGGTAGGGTGGCCGGAACCACATGACCGCGGTCTCCCCCTCCAATGCCAGCTTCTGGACTTAGTGGAGTTTTCTTCCCCCTCTCGCTCTCTCTCTTTTTTTTTAAACAGCAAGAGCCTGAAACAGCACCTTCCCAGCTGCTGCTTTTCCATCAGACAGGAGTGGCCCCAGCAGGGAGCTCTCACAGCTGACTAAGGCAGCAAACACAGTCCGAGCCATGCAGCTATAAATCTCAGCACAGCGCGCTCCGCGGACAGTTCTTTCCAAACCGAGCTGGGCACCCACCCGGGCGCTGTCTCACCGATGCCGGAGAACTGGCACCCAAGGCAGCCACACAGAGGAGCCCCCGCTCCCATCGAACCCGGCAGTGACAAGGGAGACTGCAGGGGCTGCAGGAAAACCCTTTCGGGAGCAATCGGATGTTATGTGCCCCTCTTACATATGATATCACCACACTACCACGATGGAATGCAAACTAATAAAACGTACTATAAATACGATTACACACCCCACAGAATGCGTGTCCCTTTAACGCTAAATAATTAGACCATGATCTACAAGTAACAAAATAGCTGAGTGGAGGGAGGGGGGCGAACAACTTACTGCCAGTTGGGGTCTGCCTCTGGCTACCACGACATGTTTTTTTGTTTGAAAGATGGGGACGGAGGGGGACACAATCTCACACATAATATGATTCTCAGATAGGGCAGTGCCAGAGGAAAGGAACCCAGCTGGAGAAAACATTCCCCCCTGTATGCCAGATAGGAGAAAAAACAACATCCCCCCCACTCAAAAAAAAAAAGCGGGGGGGGGGGGGGAAAGATAGTTGAAGAAGCGCGTTGCTTGCGGCTTTTGTAATAAATTAACTTAAATACCATGCAGAAAAAAAGGTTGCCTGGAGCAGACTGTTTTCCAGTAAGAAGTCAGCAGTATCACCCCAGTTGGGTTACAAACAGAGAATCTTGTTAGTTTTGAAGGGCTAGAAAGGACCTAAGTAATAAAAGTGAAAGTCCATGTTCAAAAAACTGTCATCGGACTTGTAGCTAATTTGGATATATTCTGTGTGTTTTAAAGATACTCTTTTCCGTGAGCCAGAAACATCAGTTATTTTAAAAAAGAGGTTTATTTAGGAGGGAATAAAAAAAAATGATGGGGGGCAAAGGGGGAATACCAAGCTGCAAAGAGTGACAAAAAGTTTTATTTTAAAATCCGCGAAGCATGACTCTGTCAACAGCTCTGGAGTCCAGGGTGTGGAGGATTAACCCTGTGTTTACACACGTTCAAACCTGTTTTCTAAAGGCATGGGTTTTAAATGCCAAAAATGATCTCTCTGAGAGAAATGGAAGCCAGTTTGTTTAACGCGAAAACTGCCGAGCACCACTACAGTCAGTATTGTCTTAGCCGGGTTAACAGCCAACAAGAAAAACAGCACCCGCAGCAGCATTCACTGCATAGTCACAGCACTGCTGATGGCCTGGGGCAAAGCCGCGTACACAAAACACAGTTTTTCAGATAAAGTTTGTATTCACGTGGGATTCCTTAGAGCTTGGCATTCGTTCAAAGCCTTGTTGGGCTTGAAACTCTAGTTTAGGGCTCACGGCAAGGCCATCTCCACAGTCATTCTTTTAGATAATGGACATGGAAAACAAAAAAAAATTTTTTTACAGTGTATTTCTTTTAATAAAAGAAAAATAATGAGTGAAAACCCATCTGACAGGAGGCAATTTTTCCTCAATGTTGACCCTTTCTTCACCTTCAAGTGTTATTATACTCAATAAATGAGAAAGGAAGAATTAGTCCATGGCTGCATGTGTATCTCCAGGGACTTGATGTTACTCACTGAACGTTTGCCGAATTCAGTGTTTGCTGGATAAGAGATGGAGTGCCAAAAACTGTACTCTCAAGCAGAATTTCTCATTGGATTTAACAAGAAAATAACTTCATACACAGAGCAAAAGTGATTTAGCTATTCGGTACTACTAAGTATAACCTAAGGTATAAAATGTCAAGTTTGATGCAAAACCACTGAAAATCTACATATTTTAATAGAAAAAGCTATCAGGATGGTGGGCCAACATCTGTTGATTTCCTAATTTGGAGGGTAATACCAGGTATAGGAGATCAAATATATTCCCAAGTTCCATTCTAAGCGTTAAGGCCTGGCTATGCATCACCACTGGCTTCCCTGGTGGCTCAGTGGTAGAGATACCGCCTGCCAATGTAGGAGATGTGGGTTTGATCCCTGGGTTGAGAAGATCCCCTGGAGAAGGAAATGGCAACCCACTCCAGTAGTCGTGCCTGAGAAATCCCATGGACAGAAAAGCCTAGCGGGCTATAGTTCATGGGGTTGCAAAAGAGATGGATACGAATTAGCCAACTAAACAACAACAAATTCACCTCCACTAACCTGAGACTTAAGAGATTAGCAGTTACATAATTACACATAAGGGCTCTAGATCTCAGTTCTCTCATTTGCAAGGACAGGACACTAAAGGAGATATTATAAGTCTCCTTCAGATCAAATATTCTATTAAACTTAAGCTAGTCAAGTAGTTCCAGTTGAATTCTGCAGAAAGTAGGGTTCATAGGACATTTATTTTAAGCAAATAATAAATGGTTGGACCTCCGTATGTATGTGTTCTACATTCATGGATTCAACCAACTGTTAATCAAATATATTGGGGAAAGGGGGTAATTCCAGCAAGTTCCAAAAAGTAAAACTTGAATTTGCCTCATACAGGCAACTATTTACTTAGCATTTACACTGTATTTGGTTATCATACGTAATCTAGAGATACATTTCAAGCAAACAGGAGAATGTGTTTAGGTTATATGCAAATATTACACCACTTTATATTAGAGACTTCAGGGCAGGGTCTTTGGATTTTGATATCTGCAGGAGTCATGGTACCAGGCCCCCCATGGAGACTGAGGGGTGACTGGACATTGCAGTTTCAGGACATTGAGCTCAGGAACTCAAAAGCAGATTTGAATACAACGACTACACTCATTTATAATGTAAGGTTCGCGAAAAAGTTTGTTCAGGTTTTTCCATAACATCTTACAGGAAAACCTGAACAAACTGTTTGGTCAACTCAATACCACTTCTGAGAGTACATTAAAAGTTTGTATATATCATGATAATATTCATTTTCATAGTCGCAAACCTTGCCTCGTGAGTACTTGGTGTATACATTCTAGGGAGTTAATTTTGGCAAATGTATTAACCCAGATTTGCTTTTGAAATTCCATTTCTAAAATGAAATCTAAGTTTTGTCAGTTACATATGTGTGCACACACACGTGTGCACACAAAATATACAGCTACCTACTATCAATCTATATAAAACGCTACTTGCAGCAAATGTATGCCTCAGCATTCTGGTTTTTTGAAGGTTCTTTCTATGACTTTCCCTTGAGAAAGTACCACTTTTAAAATAACTTCTTAATTTTACCTGTTAAATATATTCCCTCTTTGCTGTATACTGCTAATTAGATTTTTGTTTTCCCAAAGAGATTTGATACAGAACATGTCACAATCACATAGTCTGGCTTATACATAAAAACCCTGGATGGGTCACTTACATGAGTAATGGCCTTGATCATTATGAACATTAGGCTAGTAATGGGACAAAAATGGTCTTTTTGAGGGACATGTATACTGACAGAAGTACAACATAAATACAGATTTCTAAAATACGGTGCTCTAAAAAATTCAGTTTTTTTTTTTTAAATGAAGCCAAAATTAAAAACTAGGACCCACTTACCAGTCTGTTTTCATCAAATACTTCAAACAAGAGTCTGTGATTAGATGGGTTTACCTATAAGGGACAAAAAGAATATGCTTTAAATGGGCAGAAATAATTCCAAGGAATGAAATAAGGGACTGAAAGAATAAAATACTTTATAAAGCACTCAAATCAATTGTACACTGTAAAAAACCTGCTCTTCCATCTATGAAGGTTTCTATTATTGACTTCTATATTACTCTATGCCTAATATTTAGACATATCAGAAGAAAAGCCTTTTAAGCACTGCTTTTCTAACATAAGAAAGGGTATTTCTACATAGTTTTTAACAGTTCCTAAATATCCCCTAAAAAGGCACCCTCATGCTTGTACACCAAGGCTACACCCTCATAAAGGTCTACGCCTGAGAAAATTTCTTAGGCAATGATCAAAAATCATGAAGAAAACAGTAAAAAGCAGCTATTTACCTTTGTGTGCATGCATTTTCGGCACTTTCTCCTTACTAAATATAAAAAACACATGGTCCCATTTATTCTCAAAGCACCCCTATGATGTATACAACTGCTGCTCCAATTTCACAAATGAGGAGTTGAGACCAGGAGGGTAAAGTAACTTGCCCATGAGCCCGCAGCTAGTATGCAGGGCAACCAGGCGCTCCAGCAGGCCTGGCCCAAGCGTCTACAGAGCCCGCGTGTGGAGCCACGAGAGAAAAGAGAAATAAGAGACGGCCCCTCTTCCGGCAACGGCGGGGTCAGCGTCAGAGCCCCTGGCCTTTCGGTGTCTTTCGGTTTCTTTCTCTTTTCCCAAACCTCACTGAAATAGCAGGAATCGTCCTTCAGACCCAAGTGTCAGGTGCGACGTATGCTCATTTCCATTCCTGCACATAAATCCTGGAAACAGCCTTCCTAAGTCAGGACTCTTGTCTCACTAGGGGAGCCCGTGGGGCGTGTGAGCCTGCAGGTGGCTTCTCCAGGGTCAGAAGGGCTGTCAGTGGGAGAGCTGGAGATGCGCCCCAGGTCTCCCAGCACTAAGCCTCAGCTGTCTCACGAGGGAGAAGCCAATGAAAGAACAGTTGATGGCGCAGAGAACACGCCTTGTGCTCCTGACCCCTCGGCTTGCTCTTAACCTGGAGATGGAGCAAGCAGGTGGCAGGGGGGAGGGTGCGCAGTGTCTGGCTGAAAGCTCAGCGCGGACCAGTGCGTCCACACGCCGTGACGGGGGCTGGGATGCGGCAGACACTCGATAAAGATTTGTCCAATGAACGGGACAAAGAAATTTTTAAATGACCCCCCCAACAAAAATCAAGTTTACATATTTTTAGGGCTAATATAACTTGAAAAAAATTTTGAATGTAGTAAAATTTACAGAAATGTGGCCAAGGTGTTTAATTAATTTTTGTTTCCCTCAAACTGAAAGAAGTCTAAGTAGTTTGGAGTATTACAAGTGGAAAGCTATACCTGAGAGTTAGTTACGGGCCAATAACATCTATCTGCCCCCATTACTTTTTCAGTCTTTCACAAAGTAATTTAAAAATACATCTGGTGGTGACACCGTGTACAAGTCCGTGTGTCCCTCAGGTTCAATAGAGGCTAGACATAGGATCTCACCAAGAATTCAAATATCAATGCCATATTTTAGCTCTGAACATAATAGAAAACAGATGTCATATATAGTGATCTACGTTCGGAGCACATAAAATCTATAAAATAATGTTGTGACTGAAAGGAAGAAATCAGGACCATTATCATCAGTCTAATGGTAATATTGTGCTTTGGGAATCGACACCAATCAGGAGATCTTATCTATAATACTTCTGGAGGTGGAGTAGTTTTTAATAACACAGCTATTCAGACAATTAAAATTAATTCATCTCAAAGAGAAAAACCCCTCTTTTCCATTGAGCAGCAAAACAACAACAACAACAACAAAAACTGAGCAGCTTAATAGTTTCAAACTTTTAATACCAAAAGTGAAAAAAAAAGGAACAACCACATAAACTCACTGAAAAGTAATTTCCATTAATTTACAGAATACAATCAGTTCTACATGTAGCTCTTCTAGATATTAAATATAAAAGGTTGAGGAAATTTTGCCTAATTTGGTGATATTTAAACTGCAGATGTAGTTTTATATTATACACATACACTCACACTTAATAACTGAATTGTAAAAATTTTCTTTCCAAATTGGAACATGATTAATCAATTTTAGGCTTCTTTTTAATCATGCTGCTTCTACTGAGCTTAAACTTCACTGAAACAATTAAGCTGCCGTTTTAATTTTACTTTATTTTTTAAAGGAAAATGTGCATAAGAAAGCTAAACTTTGCTATTTGGATAACTTTTTGATTCCCTCAAAGATCCCCAAACGAAACAAGTCCAGATTTTGTTACCACTAGTTATAGTTTTTGCAAATTTGGGATACACTAGAAAGCTACCCAATCTTTTCTCATATTAAAAGGAATTTCGTAATAAAAATTTAATAGCTGTAACTCAGTGAGTCTGTTGAGATTATATATCAATCTAGTCATCAATAACAATTATGATCCCCCGCCCCAAGAAAAGAAAAACTTACTCTAAAATAAAATTCTTCATTCCACTTTGGATTCAGCGTCTGGAAGAGAAATCATCTTGTAATTTCTTTCACAGTCTTTGCAATGTTAACAGTTACTGGTACAGTGCAGTCCACATATTTGCTTAAACTTTTTTTTTCCCCACTAAAACATAGCTAAAGACATTTTCAAAACGGCAATTAAAGAAGCATTTAAGTTATCTCAAACTATTCTATACACCAAACTAGATGAGGAGGAGATGTGTTTATGAAACAGACAATTCACAGATAAGAAACCATAAATTTCACGCCATCACCATGAAAGTAAAGACAGGCTTCAAGAAATTAACATTGATACAATTATTCTATCAAGAACAAATGGGCTTTGTTCACTTCTCTCAACCTGCTACAAATCTGTTTTGAAGAATCATGAAGCAGGTGGCAGAAGGGTGACAGTATTCACCATTTACACAAATACTGAAATCTAAAGACTATTTTATAAAGAACAACATTGATGATCAGATTATATAACATGCAAAAACTCTGCCAGTTATAAACTAAAAGTGAACTCTTTCTCCCTAAATAACTAGGTTTACATATATTCAGCTACCTCTATACTTCAATCCTCTTCTCTATCCATCCACACCCATCCATCCATCCATCTGCATAGCAATCCACATAAACATACATCTCACAAGGTTATGGAAACTTTTGTACACTTTTGTCCTCAGCTTTGATAAAAGATAAGACTGACAAACAGCCTTTGAAACTAAGATGAAACATAGTCTGGAAGACTACATATACACATGTGTTTGTGCATTTGGACAAGCATTATGCTCTGAAATGAACATCTCTCTCAAAAACTGTATGTAAAAATGAGATTGAAAAATCACCCCCTCATCAAGGACTACAGAGATTTTTAAGTTAGAATGATATTTGCCTTTATCCATCTATCTTTCTGTAAAACCTAGCGCAAGAAACGGCAAAATAATAACAACACAAAACATCATAAAAAATAAACATAGGCTGTGTACAACACTGAACTAGCATTAAAGATAAGAATTAGCAATTTCCCCACCCACAGCTCAAGGGGGAAATCGAACCCTAAATAAAAGGGGCTCACGCTTCTAGTTCCGGATGGAGCCTGGGATGCAAATAAGTGAACGCGAGCAGGAGGGAGGAAGGGGAGAGGTCCTGCAAGCCCAGGGCTGCGGAGGCTGCAGGGGGCCAGGAGACCCGCTTCGGGGAGACGCGGAGGGGGAGAGGCAGCGGACAGGTGAGGCCACAGAACGCGTGCAGCGCCGGGCACCCGCCCACGAGGAGCAGAGGATGATGCAGAAGGTTCTCCAACACCCTGCGCCGCACAGAAATACTAACCGAGCCGGGCACACAGCGCACCCTCTCCCGTGGGGCGGAGGAGGGGGTCCTCCCCGCGGAAGGAAACGCAGTTCAGTGCCCCCGATCGCGGATCCTGTTCTCTGCTCCTTCTGCGTCCGGGCAACCAGGTCCCTGGCTGCCTCCCCCGCCCGGCGACAGCGCCCAACAGGGAACAATGGCCTCCGTCCTCCGCAGGAATCCTCCCCACCCATCAAAATACCGGCCCCTGCGCTCCAAACTCTCCAGATTTTCAGGGCCAGTCGGAATGCCAGGTGGGAGACACGCTAGACTGCTGTCTCTTCCTTTCACAAAATGACCTGGCAACAGACCCCAGGCGTCTGCACAATAGCAGGAAGAGTTAACCATTTTTTAAAAGCCCTCGCGCACTCCAGGAATTGCTTATCACAGGATGTATTAGATTGTTTACCCCACAGATGGGGAGGGGAAAATAACGGGGATCCATAGATACTATTGAAGCACAGATAAGAACAGTACTTTTGGTAGAAAACATGCATCGTCAATAAATGCCCCAAATATGCAGTAAATATATGATTTAATAGATACATATAAAAACATGGAGTAGATGAATTAAGATATAAATATAGATATAAATCTATATTCTAATGTATTTTATAGATGCATATAAAAACATGGAAATATGAATTAAGGTATAATTATGGAAACAAATCTAATGAGATCATGTCTGTAAAATTTAGAAAAGTGATGCATACATACAAACATACACATAGAATTTTACTGTTAAGATTTTTTATTTGTTTTCATGTAGCTAAGCAAGTATTCTGCTTCCTTTGGTAATACCTGTTTTAAGTTAAACTATTCCCTTTGTTCCTACCAAATCCACAAGCCACTCCATTTCATTAAATATATTTTAAATGGCTTTAAATTTCTTTTCATAAACTAACAAGTCAACAAGAAGAAATCCATGTTTTGCTTTATTCTTTGCAGGGAAAAGAATTGCTACTGGTAACAATGCTTCTTTGAATATTGCTTTTATAGTAAAAAAAAAAAAATCCATCTGCCAATCCAGGAGATATAGGAGACCTGGGTTTGATCCCTTGGAGGAGAAAATGGCAACCCACTCCAGTATTCTTGCCTGGAAAATCCCCATGGACAGAGAAGCTTGGCAGGCTACTGAGTCCATGGTGTCGCAGAGAATCAGACACGACTGAGCATGCACGCACTTAACTAAAAGCCAAAACCAGTGTCTTAGATTAATACTGAAAAGTTTGATCTCTGTTGAATTTACAGATTTCATACTAAGAGAGGTTTAAAATAAAAATACTGCCAGCTTAAAACAAAAACATCTACAAAGCTCAAAGACATAATTAAATCAGATTAAATTATGATTTAAATGATGTTTAATTAAGGATAGACACTTACCTTTTTAATTGTTTTTGTTTGTACCAAAGCAAGTTCCCTATTCTCATCTGCTACGTACAATGAAAGTTTCACATACGGATCACTGTAAGAAAAAACAGGATTATACTTTTCATTTTAAGAATACAAAAAAGAAAGCAGCCATAACCTAACCGAAAATATCAGTTAATGACCCAGTTTATGTAAATATTACAAACTAAGCAGTGACATTTTCAGTATGCTCACCAGGGAAATATACTGAGAAAAGTTTCTGACCAAGGATGTTTATTTAAAACCAAAACTAACATGAAACTCATATTCTAACTTTAAAGATCATCTTCGCTATTATTAATTTAAAAATTAATTTGCTGTAGTTTCTTTTTTCCTAAGCACATTCAGATTCTGGAAAAATTATACTAAAAATTATTAAAAGGCATATAAAATTTGTCCAGATTAGCAAAATCTATCTTGAAAATTTAGTTTGCATCTTATTTTTATTCTGATTTCCATTATGTTGGTAAAAATTATTTTTCTTTCAGTGGAGGTAAAACAGGCATTGTTTATCTAAACCAACATGTATCATCTTATAGATGAAAAGAAAGACACATATATAAAAAATTAAAGCCCAGTAAGTCAATAGAGAGTTGCCCAAAGTTACAGATTGCTGTAAAGTCTTGATTAAATTTCAGGTTTCCTGACTACAAGTTCCAGAATTCTAATCATTTCCTTGGGAAACTAAAAACTTTTAGCCAGAAAGTATACTGAAAGCATACTTAATGTGGATTATCTACTAAGAACTTGGTAAATCCACTCATCATATGTTCTAGAATTGCTCATACTAGGATAGCTCAAATCTAGTTAAGCTATAAGAAACTGGAGTCCAGGGTCTTCTGTTTCACACTTGGAATCCTTAGAATCAAAGAAAGGGCCTTCATGTATTCAATCCCCAAATTTTCACTCATCTAATTATCTATAGCCGATGATTTATTTTCTTCCAATTTGAGAATTATCCTTTAGATAATTATCCTTTACACCATGACTATTAACTCTTACTTTGCAACGTCCAAGGTGTTTCTAAAGATTATATGGAGCATCATAAAATGCTTAAACATTGGTTTTTATTCAATAGCTCAATAAATAGGCCGTGATTTCCCTTAAGGAAAGAGAAAGTAACAAGATGCAAAGTTTAGTATTAACAGAACTATATTTGATATCTGAAAGACAGAAGTCAAGAGTCAGTGAAAAATACCAATGGTATACACCTGCAGTATTTATTACCCATAAAATGCATCTTAGTGGAAGCTACAGCACATCTCCTTAAACATAACAAACCAACAATTTGCTCTGTTATATTCTGAGTAGATATTTTTATTTTTTTTTAACATTCTGGTTTAGAAGAAGGTATTGTCACTTATCCATAAACCATAGATACCTTTTCACTAAAGGACATCTAACCAGACACACCTACTCCTTCTGATCTGGACACATTCAGCCTCAGAATAAAGACGAATCAAGAGCCAGGATGTAATCTAGGTTTAAAGACCCCGAGACCACCTTCCTAATCAGAGTGATCGTCTGGGTGATGGATCAGGAACTTATTTCTAGGGTCAGTGGTTCTCTGGCTTTAGCACATCAGACTTGCCAGAGGAAGGGATAGTTAAAACATAAGATTGCTTGGGCTCCAACCCCAAAGACCCCCACAAAGGTATAGTAGGTCTGGGGTGGAATCAAAGAATTTGCATCTCAAACAAACACCCAGTGATCCTACTGCTCGGGATGCAGGAATCACACTGTGAGAACTACTGCTCGACATGGTATCTGAAAAGAGTATTTTCCAGCTATAGACACCAATTTTCTATTTCCAGCCACCAAGTTATTGCTTAAAAGAGCTCACGGCCTGCTATCTCTGTTATCTCAAGAATAGGCTCCCAGTCTGCCGTGGAGGTGCACACACGCTCACACAATCCCACATTATGGAGAAGACAATGGCCTCTGCTGACTGCTGTCTATTCCCTCCATGCCCCTTGGCTTTCATGACTGCTGCCTGTTACATAACTGCTGGAAAGAGCCAGGCGCTCGCTTTAATGGGGCATCCACGTTCTTCCTCTAATCACCTCCTGACCTCAGTTTATACCCCCTTGAAGAGTTCACAGTGATTGAGGGTGTGGTCTCTGAGTCTGGGACAGTGTCCCCTAGCTGTGATGAGGAAGGCTGGTCTGCATCTGTCTTGAGTGTGCATCCAGGTAGAGGTAGGTACTGGGTGACTTCAGGTGACTACCTGAAGGACTGACCAGGAAACTTCCTGGAAGAGAATTCAGGGTGAACAGAGAACCAAAGGCCAAGGTGTGAGAGCTGGTGAAAGGAGAGTAGGGTGTAGGTTCAAGGGGAGGGAGCACAGGGCTTGGGGAGGCTGGTGAACGGACAGGAAGGTTCAAGAGCGCTGGGTAGGGTGGGGTGGGGAGGGGAGCCTTGCCCAGGGGGCTCTCCCTTTCTGATGGCACAGCAGCACCACCTCCATCAGCAAATGTTTACAGAGAGACCACACTCCCGGCACGCTAGCGCTAGTGAGCCAGGGGGAACCAGTGGGCCACAGTGAGGACTAAATCATCAAAGGTCAACATGGATATTCATGGATAAAGAAGATATGGTACATATATACAACGGAATACTACTCGATTAAAAAAAAAAAAAAAAGAATGAAATGATGCCATTTGCAGCCAGCATGGATGCAGCTAGAGATTATCATACTAAATGAAGTCAAGAAAAGAAGGACAAATACCATACACTACCACATATATGTGGAATCTAAACTATGAAACAGAGTCAGGGACCTAGAGAATAGACCAGCGGTTGCCAAGGGGTGGGGGTTGGCGAGGCATGGACTGGGAGTTTGGGATTAGCAGGTGCAAGGTGGTGTATATAGGATGGAGAAACAACCAGTTTCCACTGTGTAGCACCAGGAACTATATTCAACATCCTGTGATAAACCAGGAGTGAAAATATGATAAAGAAGGTATGTACATGTCTATTTCCAGTTGTCAGGTATGGATGTGAGAGTTGGACGATAAAGTAGGCAGAGCACTGAAGAATTGATGCTTTTGAACTGTGATGCTGGAGAAGACTCTTTGAGAGTTCCTTGGACAGCAAGGAGATCAAACCTGTCTATCCTAAAGGAGATCAACCCTGAATATTTATCGGAGGGATTGATGTTGAAGCTGAAGCTCCAATACTTTGGCTCCCTGATGCAAACAGCCGACTCATTGGAAAAAGACCCTGATGTTGGGAAAGATTGAAGGCAGAAGAAGAAGAGGGCAACAGAGGATGAGATGGTTGGATGGCATCACTGACTAAATGGACATGAACTTGGGCAAACTCTAGGAAATAGCAGAGGACAGGGAGGCCTGGTGTGCTGCAGTCTGTGGGGTCACAAAGAGCTGGACATGACTGAGTGACTGAACCACAATATACACACACACATATATAATTGAGCCAGTTTCTTGTACAACAACACTTAACACATTATAAACCAACTATGGTGGTGGTGGTTTAGTTGCTAAGTCATGTCCTACTCTTGCGATCCCATGCCAGGCTCCTCTTTCCATGGGATTCTCCAGGCAAGAATACTACTTCAATTAAAAAATGAAAAACTTTTTAAAAAGATAGTTAAAAAAAAAAAAGACATTCATGAATGGCCCTTAGCTCAGCTGAGTGAGGATAACACTTTCCCATTTCACCAAGGGGAAGGCTGGAGCAGAAAGGTGCGATACGGACAAGGCATCAAGCATCAGAGAATGAGCAGGGAGATGCCAGCCCAGCCTGAGCAGCCATCAACTCTGTCTCCACCACAAGCACAGCTGGAACCAGCACCACCGTTACGGCTATGGCCGCCACCGGCCCAGCACCCAGCCTCCGTCAAGCATCCGTCTGCACCTGGCCAGTACTCATAGGCAGCATCTCACTCTGCTTTCTCCATAAGCTTCTGAAGTTGGTACATGTTTCAGATGAGAAAATGAGAAAAATCAAGCAGCTTGTCCATGGTTAAAAAGGAAAGGAGGAGATGGGAAGGAACACAGGCATCTTTGCTCCCGAATCCAACCCTCTTGAGTGGAGGGATCCAGCCTTCCCGCAATATGCTACGCTGACCACCAAAAGAGCTGGCTGGAAGAAATGTCAAGCGGCAGGAGTTCTCAAAATTCTGCTGAGTTGAAAAACATTATGTGCTGTAACTGCCATTATGACCTAATCTGTATCTTATTCATTTATTCATTTGGCTGCACCAGGTCTGAGTTGCAGCATGCGGGATCTTTAGTTGCAGCATTCAAACTCTTGGTTGGGGCACATGGACTCTAGTTCCCTAAACCAGGGATCGAACCCAGGCCCCCTGCATTGGGAGCTCAGAGTCTTAGCCACTGAACCATCAGGGAAGTTCCAGGGGGGCTGTTTTAGATGGCTCATCTTATTTTCTTATCCAACTCTGGCTGGGGGAACAACCAGACTTGGGCTGTGTCTTAACCTTTAAGGAAGATCACACTTTTGAGATTTTATCTCCTTCTCAACACTCCAAATAACCAGCTGCGTGACCTTGAACAAGTCACTTGAGTACTCTGAACTTCGATTCTCCTATCTCCCAAATCAAGAGGCTTGGACTAAATCAGTGGTTTTCAAACTACGGACGCAGCAGACCCCTAGTTCTGTGCAACTATCTCAGGATAACTACAGGTTAGAATTTGCACCTTAATCTGTCTTATACATTGGTTTTTCATATTAGAATTTTTTGTGGCCAGGGTTCTATAACTTAAAAAATTAAAGCCACTGGACTGGAGGGCCCCTTTTGGTTAGAATATTCTGAATCTCAGAACAATTTGAACTTCCTTCTCTTCTTTTGTAGTAACAATAGCCCAGCCCATTTTATGAAAATATGGACTGACTTCCTGAAGATAAAATAGGAATAGAGAATAAAACTCTACTCTCTCCATCAGGGTATGAAAGGTGAAGTCCACAATAGTATCAGAAACCACTTCTGATCATCACTTCAGTTGCTCAGTCATGTCCAACTCTGCGACTCCATGGACTGCAGCACGCCAGGCCTCCCTGTCCATCACCAAC